TTTTTTTTTTTTTTAAACCCTTCTAGACTTGTAAAAAAGCAAAACAAAAAACCTTTCACTTTTGTTATGTTATGAAAACATTCACAGTTTTACCAGCAGAGGGCACCAGTTGTGGGCTGCAGATTTGGGAAAGGGAAGAATTCTTGGGATGGTCTTGAGAGATTGTACTTACTTGTGTGGCACCTGCTCTTGTTTGTAGTAGCCATTCTGACTTTGCTTTGACTCTCTTGAGGTCTGATGGTAGTCCTTTAGTTTCCTCCCAAAGCAGCCTCTGTCTAGCCCTGGTTGGTTAGCAAGGTGACTAGAGGGTTTTATTATAGGAGGTGACTAGAAGCTATGGATGCCAACTGTATCTTTAGGGGTTCCTAAACCGGAAGTGAGGTGGAAAGAGCATTAGGCCAGGGACATGAGTGTCTGGTTCCACACATGCCTCGCTTGTTCCTCTTGAGTGGTCCTTAGCTAGTTGCTTTCTGTTTGGGCCTTAATTGGCTTATCTCTAAAACAGGGGTGTCGTAGCTAGTGGTGGGCTCAGAGGTTGGGCAGACTTAAGTTAAAAAACTCTATTTTTGCCATTTACTACTAATAAGTTATTTAGCAAGTTATTTAGCTCTCAGAACCTCAGTTCTCTCATGTTTGCAACCTGTAGAAGGTCTAAAAATAAGCAAGAGGGGTACACGTGAAATATAGCAGTCAGGGTGTGGCTCAGAGTGATTATTCAAAGAATGGGAGTTATTACTATTCCAGGGATGTTAACTGCAGTCAAAGGAGATGATGGGCATAGAGTATTTTCTAAGCTTAAATGTGTAACACAAATATCATGAGTGATTATACTTTGGAGTTTATTCAGTGCATTCTTCTATCTGTGGAGGAGGAATTGTGAAGAAAGGTGAGCATTCCTCTGGGCTGGGTAACCTGTTTCCTGTTTGCCTTTTTTTGGCCCCAGGTTCTTTTTCTGTTTCTGTCTGGATTTCCAAGGACATATTAAACAGAGACCACTAAGCAAGCGGTCCAGGACCTGATGGGAAGTTTTAGCAGTAATGATGAATTTAGCATTCTCTTTACTAGTTCTCGCTGACCCATTGGTAATAGAGACTTTTGGTGATGAATAAATGGCTCCAGAAAGGGCCCTACCCTGACTGACTTTTATTTTTCATTTCAGGACCACTTGGTCAGAGAAATTGAATAGTATTGGCGTAGACTATGAAAATCATAGTTGCTAATGGTTTCTAAATGCTTATAGTCTGGGTTATGTTTCTGGTAATCACATTTGAATATACCCCATTTGAACCTAGTAGTCGGTGTGGTTTTTACATCAACCTGTACATTCTAGTCACCTATGAGATTTGTTAGAATTCTTCCTCCGGGGTCCTCATGTTAAAGATGTCGGGGAAAGCCTAGCTATGTTTCCCCCCCCCCCAGATTTATTGAAATATATATAATCTATGTAAAATCCCCCTTTCTAAGTCAATAGTTTTAAAAACATAGTAGTTTTATACAGTCATGGAAGTATTATCATAGACAAGATGTGGAACATTTCCATAATTCTAAGAGTTCTCTTGTGCCTTTTGACCTCCCGATGCCTACTTTTAGCCAGTTTAGATAGAGATAGCTAGATTTAATATCACTGTATTGTTTTATGATCACTGCAAATATAGGAAACCAAAGTATTGGAGGAGGAGGATAAAGGCCAGAAAAGAAGCAAAGGGGCACTTATAGGAAACAATGCATGGCCTGAGTTATGCCTAGATAAGGTATGCTGTACTGGCTTTGTGCTGAGACAGAGTATAAAATAGAACATTCTAGACGGAATCCAGGATGAAAGGGAAAGTTTTTCCTCCAACTAAAAACTGAAGAATTCTGTACAAAGTTGGTAAAATTCTTTTAGGATGGACATCTGAGTCACTGGTATACTTGGCTAACTTTGGAGGAAGCTTGGGTCATGGGAAGGAGTCTGGGCATCAGTTGTAGTGGGGTTAGACATAACTTCAGGACAATCCAAGGATGAGAATTTTCTTCCAAGTAGATACCACTTTGGCTCTTTTGACCCTCTTCTGCTGGAATCCAGAAGCAAATTTTCTTCTTTTTTTTTTTTTTGGTCTTTTTTAGACAGGGTATCCCTGCTGGCCTGGAATTCGCTATATAGAGTAGGCTGGTCTTGAACTCAGTCATCTGCCTGCCTCTGCCTCCTGAGTGCCACCACACCCAGCCAGAAGCAATTTGTTTTAATTTGAAGTCCAGCCAGAAATATTAGCCAAGATCAAACAGGTTCAGGCTGTAGCCTAGATAATCTTTGGATAGTAGGTAGAAAATGTAAAACGTAGCTCTGAGACCAGAAAAAATTTCTGCCAGGACCCTGGAGACTGATTTTTGGCTCAGCTCTGCCTATGGTTTTGCTAGATGAGTTTGCTAGAAGATGGTCTTCTCTGGGTATTCTCCATTCTGTCTTGTGGATGATGGGCGGTGAGCAAAGTGTATGATGAAGTATGGCTTTGACACACTTCAGCAAACTGGTTAGCATGGTAGAAGTAGATAGCAAAGGAAATGGCTTTATTTTGAAACCTGACTGTGTTCAATCAATCCTGAAGGCTTTCCTTTTCAGAATTTTTTTGTCCCCTTTCCTGAATGGTGATCACAGGAACGAGGGCACGCACAAAGAGTAAGTCATTTCTATGACCCTCTTGTGACTCACCCAGTGTCTTCCTGTACTCTGGCACAGATTCTGGGAGTCTGTTTCCTTATTTGTGATGTTCAGCTTCTTGTGGTCCCTCTGATTGACTCCAAGAGGAAATATCAGGAGCAGAACCACGAAGCCGATTAGAAGGGGAAGGGAAGGAGATAGAACGGGTGCTGGGAAAAGTGAAGATACAGGCTGTAGGGCAGAAGTCAAATTCCTTAGGCATCTTCTTTTTTTATTTTGTCTTTTTGAAGCAGGGTCTCCCTGTAGCCCCAGCTGTCCTGGAACTTACTAGGTAGATCAGGCTGGCCTTGAACTCACAGAGGTCTGCCTGCCTCTGCCTCCCGAGTGCTGGGATTAAAGGCGTGCGCCACCACACCTGGTCTCAGGCCTCTTCTTATTTGAGGAAGAGTAACTTTGGGTAATGGGCACCGAGAGGACATTGAGGTGTCAGGACCTTGACACTCAAACCCTAACCAGTTTGAGTTCAGAATGTTAGGTAAAGTTCAAGGTATTAGTACTTCTATTTTCTATGATTTCAGTGTTCCTTCCTCTGTTCTGTGGCTTTCAGTCTGGGTAACACTGAAGAAATATAACAGGTTAAAATTATAACATCAATAATAAGTATAATGAGTATTGCTCATATTTTCACATGTATCATTCTATCCCCCTAAAGTTCTCCACAAACATTAGAGTCCAGTAAACATTTCTTCTTACGACGCCATATAGATTATACTGAGAAAGTGGAACATTTCAAACTTGTTTGGAATCATGGTTTTAGAGCTGAAAGGAGCAGCTGAGCATGGGGTCCAGAGTGGGGAAAGACTAGCTAGCTGAAGACCACCGAACCAGCGCGTGCTTCAGTGGAGCCTAAAACAGCAGGTGTAGCAATGAGAAGTCTGGTTTGTCTGTGTTGTCAGGGACACTTCTGAGACAGTTTTCATGGCTCATTGCCTCAGTTATTTCTAAGACCATTGGCTATGTCTAGAAGATATAGACTGTCAGTTATTTTTGAGGCTGTCATTAGTGTGGTTTAGGGGAGGTTTTAGAAGATTGTGATTGATAACCCTACCAGAAAGACTCAAGGATTAGGACTGAAGGAGACATTCCAGGTAGGGGGTTAAATTCCTCTAAACTGAAGGTCAACAGCTGGGGATTACAGTGTGAAGGAGCTTTGGCTGGAGATGGGGGTTCAGTAGTAGACTTCTGAGTTTAGCCATAGCTTGAGTCAATTTCAGTAGAGCAGACTTGTAGGGTGATGCTATGAAATTGAAATTCTTTTGGTGTGGTCTAGGGCAGTAAGCATGTGCAGTGTATATTGTGATGGCTTACTGCAATGATCTTTGTCTTTTTGTGATAGGGCTTTATATATATTAATATTTTATTATTTACATTCTATGTGTATGGGTGTATTGCCTGCATGTATGTAAGTGTACCCGTGTAGTGCAATGCCCATAGAGGTCAGAAGAGGGCATTGTATCCCCTAGAACTGGAGTTACAGATGGTTGTTAGCTGCCCTGTGGGTTCTGGGAATCCAACCTGGGTCCTCTGCAAGAGCAGCCAGTGCTCTTAGCCACTGAGCCATGTCTCCTCTCCAGCCCCTGTCCTGTGATAGGCTTTTTCAGATTCACCTAGTTCTACTAGCTCTTGCCTCTTCTCTGTCTCCTTCCCTCCCTCCCTCCCTCCCTCCACCCCCCCTTCCTCTTCTTATTAGTTTTTTTTTTTTTTTTTCCAGTGCTTTCACTGGGGCTGGAGAGATGGCTCAGCAGTTAAGAACACTGGTTGTTCTTGCAGAAGACCCGGGTTCGAATCCCAGCACCCACATGGCAGCTAACAACTGTCCGTAACTCCAGTTCCAGGGGACCCGACAGCCTCTTCTGTCCTCCGCGGACATTGCACAACACGAGTGCACTTACCTACATGCAGGCAATACACGCATACACATAAAATAAAAATAATTTAAAAAATTTTTTAAAAAATGCTCTCTCTTGTGTATCTCATTCTGGCCCAGAACTCAGATCCTCCTGCCTCAACCTCGAGAGTACTGGGGTTACCTGCACTTAGTATCACATCTGGCTCCAGCTCCCTTTTCTAATTTCTCTTGTATTCATTTCAGTCTTCCAGGCTTCCCCGTATTGCCCTCCCCTCACCGGTCTCTGCATCTGTCACCTCTCAGAGCTACTAGAGATTCGGGGAGAAGGAATTGAAACCTGAGCTCTCGTCACCCACAAGTGATTTTCCCCAGGTGGGTAAACTCCACTGCAGGCCACAGAGGGGCCTCCTCATTCCAGTAATCGGGCCCACGGACTCAGCCTATGAGGGGAGAGGGGATCAGTATTTCTCCATTAAGGAGGATCCTTTAGATCCTTTGCAGCCAGGCAGGGAGGCAGAAGACTAGCACGGGCTAGTCGCCAGGGCCGGGAATGCCCGAGCAGATGTGGAAGCAGCTGGAAAGGTGGCACTGCTCTTGGTCGCTGAAGCTCCAGCTGTTCCTAGGAGACGGGGAGAAGCTAGCCTGCGGGGGAGGGGGAGCAAGTGGGTTGCTGCTTTTAGCGGCTGAAAGGGCTGCAGGGAGCTCTGGGTAAGACATTTTCTGCTGCTGTCGCTTCTGCGGTAGAAACTGCCGGAGTAAGGCAGAGGAAGGAGGATCCAGAGGGAAGAGGTTTCGGTTGCAGCCATGCTGAATCACTATTGCCGATCAGATCTCTAGCGGGCTACTGGGAGAGCCAGCCCAGAGAGCAGCGCTAATTCCCGGTACATGCACAGTTCGGTAGCTACTACCCCTGCTGGGCCTCCCACAATGGAGGGCGAAAGGTATGTGTCTTTAACTGTGGTGTGTGCATGTATGTGTAAGCAAATGTGAGTTTGCGGTGAAGCCACCAGCATTTATGTTTGTGTTGGCGAGGTAGGGCTGGAAAACCTGGCTACTGCTAGATCCCAAAGAACAGCACAGTCAGAGCAGAAAAGTCCCTTTGAAACCCACCCCTCCCAGGGCTCAAAGCTCCAGAGGTTTGGCTCCTGCAAAGGTAAGTCTGAGTTTGCTGGGCAACGCACTGCAAGAAGGGACTTCCTGGCTGGCTTTGGGGAATAGTTTCAGCAAGATTGCTTTTTCCACGTTGCTTCAAGGAGGTGTTTTCCGTTCCTGGGGGTGTTTTCTTTGGTGGGCTATTTTGATACCACAGCAGACTAGCCTTGCATACAGCACTTGCATCTTTTTTACTGAGATACTTAAATGTTCAGGAAGCAAGCCAAGTGGATGGCTTTCCTAAAAGTGAGTGTGTATGTCTATGTTCCCAGCACTGGCTTGTGTGTTGTTATACACGTGTTTCAAGATAAAGAAAAGAAACCCAGTCAGATGACATTTGCTCACAACCAAGTTTCACCTGTACTGAAAAGTTTGAGTGATACTGCAGGGTTTGTGCTTTAGAGGAACTCTTAGTTCTTCCACCTTTTGAAATAGGAATCATCAGAAGGGATTTAAGTACTTGTGTTGAGCAGAAACTAACTAGCCAGGGTTTGTTTCCTGGCAAGCACATGCATATGCAATTTAAAATTATTATCTGAGGATCTGGTCTTCCCATTGTGAAGGTGCTCAGTGCAGTGCCAGAGTTGGTCATCCCTGGCTATAGATCAGAAGTCTCCGGAGTGCTGGTCTCCTAATTCAGTGGGTTAGTGCTGGTAGGGAAAAGGGCTTGCCATTTTCACCAGAGAGGAGACTGCAGGGAGAGTCCAGGAGATTGTTCCTGAAGTTTTGTGTTGCTGCTTAAATGGGATCAGGCTCAACTAAATCAGCACTGTTTGAGAGCACCTAGATAAGCCCTTTCACTTGCACAGGTTTTCCTGACTCTTACATCTCATGAGGCAGAACAAACTGTGTCTCTAGACATCACTGGACCCTATTGGAATGGGTATGATTGTTGGGGTTCATCTCACTCTCCTGTCTGATGAGGCCCAAGGAACTATGCTTCTTGATATTAATTCCTCTGTAGAAAAGTCTAAGACTTCTTAGGCCAAGTACACGTCTATGTAGCCCTTTCTGGGCACTCTGGCTTCCTGGGCAACAGATTATCTAAATGCCTTCCGGCAGAGTTGGACAGTGTGTCCTTCCCTTCTCTCATTGATTTGGTACCTAGCAGATGGTAGGGGTGATATGATAGAGATGAAAAGGTTCTGAACCATGGCCACTTGCATGAAACATGGCATATCAGGGCTGAGAGGTTGGCATGAGACTAACAACTACAGATTGAGGACCTTGGGGCAGTGATTATGTCCCTACAATGTATTAAGTCCCTGCATCCAAGGAGCTCTTTAACTAACACCAGGTACAGTCAGTTGGGATAGCTGATATCTATGGATTCAGAATACCTGTTTGCCTTTCCCCTACTAGAGACTGAGCAAAGGCAAGCAATCTGAGTTGAACATATCCAGGGTTCACCAGGCTGCCTGGATCCTTTTTGTTCATACTCTGCGTCCAGCTTACATGCCAAACACTCAGGTCTTCTTCAGTTTGGTTCCTGTCTCCATTCTTACTGCATATCTGTCCACACACCAAGAAGAGTTTTCTGATCGTATCGTCCTTGTCTACCCATGCTATATGTTACTCCAACCAACCCTTAACTCTCAGAGTTCTTTCTAGAGTCTTCTCTTCCCATGTTGTCTTGGAAAACTCAGTTTTTCTAGTCCTAATTGATATTCTTAGATATGAATCTGTAGTTTATATCTCAGACCCGAATGACAGGTCTGCCTGGTCTTTTTGTGCTTCTCTTTTGTATACCTTATAAGTCCCCAAACTTGGAGATATATCCTCAAGTACAAGTATGGCATTTTCTACTTCTTCCTGAATGTTCCTTAATGAGTACTGTGTGACTGTACCGATAGCAAGTGCTGGGTAGTAACTGACTAGTTAACTGATAACTTTTGTGAGAAATTTTGATAACTAAATATGTAAGAGAAAAGATTGAAATCTTGTCCAATAGGTTCATCCTTGAATATCCACCTGATTGTCTCAGCATAGGCAATTTCTCTTATGAAATGCTTGGATATAGAAGGAGAAATGGAAGTTAGCTTTGGTTTACAAGATTCCTGGAAACAAGGGCAAAAGAAACTCAGTAATTGGATCACGTGTCCAAACTCCAGGGACTAGAGGAATCCTGAATCTGGTGCTTGTTCCACATTTAACCTGCCGAAACTTAATTAGGGTTATTTTTAAGCATTAAAATTTTCAGCTAAGAGATTTCTATGAATAATTTTATTTCTTTGCTATGAGGGTGTGAAAATAGTTTCTACCTTTAAATACTACTAATTAAATGTACAGGCTTTGGAGTAACAAACTTAGTAAAGTGAAATACTTTACAAACCCTATGACCTTATGTGTATCATATTTTTAGAGACCTATTTTTTATGTGCAAAGGGAATGATAACATTATCCTTCATGGGGTTGTTGTGCAGATGAAATGAGACAGTGTGTGTAAAGCACTTAGTAATTTTTCTGGCATAGAGTAAGTACTCAGTAGTTGCCTTTATCACTGATGACCATCTCTTGCTCTGTTGTGCCTTACAACTCACTGCTGAGATATTAACAAAGACTTTGGGGTTATTTCTATATTGATTATTCAAAGCAGATTATGTTGGACCATTCCCACGAGAAAAATACAGAGAAAGCTTAGCAGGCTATCATCTGACTTTTTACCTAAATCATCCCCTATATAGTCAGATGCCTCACAGGGCTTCACATTTCCTTTTTTTTTTTTTAAGGTTTCACCAAGATCTACTTTAACTTTCCTTTTTTAAGATAGCCTGTGGGAGGGGCTGGAGAGATGGCTCAGTAGTTAAGAACACTGACTATTCTTGCAGAAGACCAGGGCTTGAGTCCCAGCACCCACATGGCAGCTAACAACTGTCCACAACTCCAGTTCTAGGGGATCTGACAGCTTCTTCTGTCCTCCGCGGGCATTGCACTTATCTACATGCAGGCAATACATGCATACACATAAAATTAAAATAATAAATAAAATATTAAAAAAAGCCTGTGGGGCACATAGATGCCCTAATGGTTTGAATACTCTTCTGTTCAGGCTAAGATATCAAGAAGAACCTGTGAATTTTCACTTCCTTCTGCTACACCCAAAACTTTCCAGCTCTCTGCTAGATCATCTGATGCTAAATCCTGTCCCCCCATGTCCCACTATGGAGGAATCACTGTGGCTAGTCTAGGAAGATGACTTAGATTTTTATTTAGCAAAGAAAAAAGTGTCTTTTCTCTCTGTCTCTGTCTCTGTCTCTGTCTCTGTCTCTGTCTCTGTCTCTCTCTCTCTCTCTCTCACACACACACACACACACACACACACACACACACACACACACACATTGGAAAATGGCAGGTGCCTTTATTGCTGGGATTTTATTTCAGATTTGAAAATCAACCTTGTGGATGGAATAAAATAAATTTGCTACTTACGTGATTAGTCCAGTTCATAGAAACAAAATAAAATGGTTGCAAGGGCTAGAGAGAAAGAGGAATGGACATTGCTTTGTAGTTATGGAATTTCAAACTGGGAAGGTAAGTTGCAGAAATGGATAGTGGTAATGGTTGTACAGGAGTGTGAATGTACTTCATAATTATAAATTTTGTTATGCATATATAACTACACGTGCATGCATACACACACACACACACACACACACACACACACACACACTTTTAGGTCCCAGGCAGGCAGTTCTTGGGTAGAGAAAACATAGAGAAAAACATCTTTTAGAAGACATATTATAGAAAAGAGAAGTTGGTTGTTCTTTTCTCTTAAAATTGTGTCATTCTCATCAGAAGGATAGGGATGACCCTCCTTAAGAAGGGTCTCTGGTACAGCTCTGTGCTGTGAATTCATATAAGGTGTCTTCAGAGGATGGTTCCTCCTGGCCGCCTCTTACCAAGTAGACCTGCTCCCATACCTCAGATAACTTCTGAGATGAAGGTACTTATTTATTTACCTTTGGTTCAGTAACAACAGGTAGATAAAATACTTGGAGGTGACCTGCCTTGGAAAATCAATGCTCTCTAAGTGTTGATTTTGCTTTGGCAGGTAAAATGCTGGCAAGACTCAAGACAGGGCAAGCGCTGAGCAACCAGCACTTATTTCTATTCCAGCTGGCCTGTCACATGGTCTTCTCCCAGCTCCCAAAAGTCATGAGTAGAAAATTTGGAGAAAATTTTGGGCACTATAACTTCCTGAAGCAGATGTACATGTTTCTGAATGGTGATAATTAGAACCAAAATTTCCATTTTGGAAATATTAGGCAAAATCTGGCTTTGAACTATGAAAATGAAGTCTACGAAAGGAACCTTGGACTTTTCTACATCCAGATTTGGCATTTTAGGGTTTCCTTGCTAAGTTATATATTGTTAAGGCATATCTGGGCAAAAATTTTTTCCATATGTTTTCTAAAGCAAGTATTTTATTTGATAAAATTTGCCACTGTAGAAATGACCTATTTTTTAAACATCTCTGGATGAACCCTAAAAGTAGGTTAAGTTGAACAGACCAATAAGAACTTTTTAAAAAATAGCTTGAACATGCTTTGTTCTATGTTTTTTTTTTTTTTTTTTCTTGTTATTTAAGTTCAATGAGCCTCGGGATAGAAATCAGAGGCATTTTACAATTTGTGAAGATTTCAGACCCTTAGGCCAACTTCCCCTTTTACCTTGTCAATGCCTACTGTGGCCTCTGTCAGAGTTGCACACCTGGAGAGCTCAACTCTCCATTCAAGCCAAATATAAGCTTGGCTTCCAAAATGCCACAACACAAGGGATGTCTTTT